CCTCCTCCCAGCCAGAGCCCCGCCCCCTCCCAGCCAGAGCAGGTGCCAGTGACTCTGAGACTCACCGCTGAGCAGTGAGATCTGGGATGAGAGAGACCCCCCCAAATCACGTTGAGTCCAGCCCCCAGGGTGGCTCGGCCGTCACAGTGCACAGTGTGGCCGTGGGCTATGTTAGTGGTCACCTCGTGTCCAGGGTCCGGGGCCGTGACCCCACTTTCCCGGGCAGCACACTCGGGGGCTTTCGTCCACCTCTGGGGTGGGAGGGGGCATCAGGCGAGGCACACTCAAGGGACAGAACCCGAAGCCACGTCACACGTCTCCTTCACCTGGGAGAGAGAGGGGGACCCTGCTGGGGGACAGCATGGGGAAGCCGTCACACAGGCTCAGGGCTGCCAGACACAGGAGGCTCACCCCAGGTGCGCCCCACGGGGTGGGGTTGGTGCAATGCGGAGGGTCTAACAGATTCGCTCAACCGCAGATCGGCAGGGGGTTCCCCTCGGGTCCCTGGCCTGCCCCTAGAGCAGCTCAGACACAGCCTGGTGACAGCCGGGCGCTGGAGAGGCCAGGGGGTGACTCGGAGTTGACGAACTCACAGGGCAAATGCCTCAGACAGCCACAGGCGGGGCGGGTGAGCGCGGCGGGAGCTTCTGCTGGGGCGTGGGCTGGAGCTGGAGCAGGGCCCTGACCCGCGAGCAGCACGGCGGCCCCTGTGCTCCCAGTGATGGCATCCTCCCTCCCTGTCCCCGAGCCGTCCTCGCTTTCTCCGGGAAGATACAATTCCTGCCGCTAGAGCCGGGACACAAGACACACGCACCCCTGACACTCCACACTGCGTGCACGTGTGCCCGGGACGTTTGCAAAGGCAGAGTGGCGGCGGTGTCTCTCGGCGCGAGCTGCTAGAAGCCTTTCGTGCTTCTGTGTGACACAGGTGGCGGGGCAGTCCCCCTGTCCTTTGTGGGGTGGCTCTGGCTCTGCGTGCTCAGGCTTTCTTTGCGGAGGGGGTCACAGCCTCCCCGGGCCAGAATGTTCTGAAGGCGCCCAGGGGTGAGCTTGTTTGTGGAGGCTCCTCGAGACCCAGGCAGGTCCCCCATCTGCCTGTGCAGGCAGGAGGCCGGGACTGCGTGGTCGTCACCATCCATGGCTCCCGCGCGGGGGCTGCAGGCGGAGTGAGCCTGCGCCGTAGCACGGGGCCGGTCAGAACGGGCTTCCCTCCATACCTTACGTGGGGAAAATGCACGGGCCCACCCCGTGAGAATCAGGTTTCCGGGCCTTGGTGCTGATCAGTTATAAGTACAAAAAATATGGAAATGCAAGGTGCCTCTGGTGTCATGTCGCCAAGACTGGTGTGACTAGGGCAGGGGCCCTCAAACTTTATAAACAGGGGGCCAGTTCACTGTCCCTCAGACTGCTGGAGGGCCGGACTATAGCTTAAAAAAACTATGAACAAATTCCTATGCACACTGCATGTATCTTATTTTGTTTTTTTTTTTTTTGTTTGTTTTTGTTTTTTTTTTGAGACAGAGTCTCACTTT